AAAAATCACCTTACCCCCTAGCAGTTAAAAATTTTCTACCTATTGCTGGAGTCTGAAGGTGTTTTGCTCAAGTTCCGAGTTGGATTGATTTGTGTGCTTTTTGATGCAGCTGCAAGTCATTCCAATTCGGGTCTTTTCGCAGGCTTTCCTCCAGCTTCGTACTTTGTACGTTCACTTTCCTACGGTGGTCATTTGAAGTATTCATGACCACCGGCATCTGGAATTCTTCTTCTCTATTTCTTTCGTAACCTTTCTATACGGTCAGCTGGGTAGAGTTCAGATTCGAGAGGAATCAAAGAAAGGTGACTGTGCTTATTGGATACAAGATGAGAATGAATAGCATAAAATTCAAAAATAAAATGCGGAGCTAATCATGGAGGTTTTTCATTCATCTAAGGGCGAGGCATTGTCTTTATGGGGAATCAATACATATTTGGTCATAATCCATAAAATAAACAAAGTTCATGCACTCTTCCGACATCGGATCAAGAAGCTCTTCGTGGTACTTGCCGTCTTTGCATGCCTGCTGTATTGATTTAGCGCACCCTTTCGCCTGTGCTTTACACAGATCCTCCATACCTGACTCGTCTGCACTCCCCATCTGATAGACATCTACAGCATCAAATTCTCGACAGTTGAACGGGCCGGGACCATTCAGCTTGTCCCAGTCAACATTACCTTCGTTGTCGCAGAACCGATAGCGGTGTTCTATGCCACAACCCGATATGGGATTGACCGAATGCCAAAGTTCCGATATCAAATTGTGACTGCATTTCGAATTGAAGGCTTTCGGCATCCGTTGGCCGGAAGTACTGTACAGAATGCCTTGGTGGTCATAGAACCGAAAAACACATTTTGACTGCAAATCAGCAATGCCCGAATTGACACTGCCTGCCAAGATGCTTGAATCTAAGCCTTCGGGCAATTCATTCACAAAACACCAACGATAGGTCATGTTGTAGCACCTGAGCATCTCGCTGTATTTTAGGCTTTCCAACCAATCGTACCCTTCTTCTTCCTGCTGTTTTTCACAAAAAGTACGATCAATCTCCTCTCCAAATGGCTTCAGACCAAGGTCTCCATGGTTATCCCACAGGTGACAAATGCTGCTGCTGATATCACCGATGAGAAACGCGGGTGTGGTGATTTCATCATCATCGTCATAGTCGTCATATGGAGGAAGAAGGGCAACAGGAGAAGCCTGGCTTTGTAGTTCTTCATTCAAAGTTGCTGACGAGGACCGATTTGGAAAAGCAGAAAATAATAGCATAAAAACCATGACACCGGCAAGTGCCATCCCGATGGTACGAGCTCGTAGTAGTATGGAAGGCCAGCAGACATGATTGGGATGCCAGCATGAGTTCTGCCTCATCGTACTGCTGCTGTCTTCCACCACACCAACGAGCAAAGCATCTCGCAGTGATGATGCTGATGATTCGACTTCAAAGGATTCAATGAGTTGACCTGTCATGATGTCCAACTATAGTATTATGAGAGCGACGGATTACTAGACGCAAAAATCAAAGGGATCAGCATTATCATTTGTTGGAGATCATAAAAATTGCAAATGAGTCGTATCCATCATCTGTTTCAGTCATGCAGTACACGTCGTGTACGTTCCTTCGTAAAAAAAAATACTCGTATGAGATGCGAAATGAGAAAAATATTCACGTTCGTACGCAGACTTGATATATATGTACCGAATAGAAGGATTTCAAATCACAGCCGGATGATATCATTGCTGTCCGTGTGAGCACTAAAAGTATACAAACGTGCAAGGTACCAGTACCAGTAGGAAGGATCCTGTCCAACAGTCTTTTCCGTGAGCTGAACTCCAAGAATTCGCGGTACCTCGTACTTTTCGGTATGATGTGAATGAATTGAGTCCGCAGACAAATCTATGAATTAAACATGAGGAATCAAATAAATATGAAATAATCCTACTGTAATTTTTTTAAATACATCTATGAGCGAGGCCCTGCTATCGTCAAAGAGAAGCAGCAACCGCAGTGCCATCAGCTCGTGCGTTGTGTTTTCTGTTTTCGATTGAATCTAATCCTAAAGAACGACAAGAGATCCAGTCTCGACATCGCAGTTTTCATTGTCCATGTAGATGGACAATTACCAATAATGAAAATGCACTCAGGCTTCGTCGGAGGCCTCATCTGCCGCTTCCTTGGCAGGAATCTCAGCTTCCACGTCGGCAGCTTCTTCCTCCTCATCAATGGGAAGTCCAGTGTGCTCGGAAAGTTCACGAACTTTGGCCTTGAGCCATTCCATGTCATCGGGAAGATCTCGGACGGCAACGTTTCGCTTTTCACGAGAGACCAAGCACTCGGTGCACTTTTCAGATCCACCTTGGTACTTGCAAAAGTATCCAGTGTAGATAAGGACCACGGCCAGGACAACGACAATGATGGAACCAAGAGCCGTAAGTCCCGAGTTGCCATCAGAGAAGAGGTAAGAGATACCCAAAAAGATCAAAGGCATGGCAATGAATGCCACGGCAATGTAGATGATTGGGAATCCACGGAAGAGACGGGTGGATCGTCCAAGAGCACGGGCAGCGTTCAAAGGAATGTTGCGCATGAATGGAACTGGGTACCAAATGGCAATACCGGTAATATTGAAGAACAAGTGGGCGAGAGCGACCTGCATACCGTTCTTGTTACCAAGAAGGGCAGCCAAGAGACCAGTGACGGTGGTACCAATATTGGCTCCAAGCGTCAGAGGAAGCATTTGTTCCAGACGAAGGGCACCGACACCGACCAAGGGGGTCAAAACGGAAGTGGTAATGGAAGAAGATTGGACCAAAATGGTGATACCAGCTCCAATGAGAATGGCAAGGTATCCATTAATGTTGGTAGCCTTGTAGAGAACGCGGGTAGAAGCTCCCATCATTAATCGTTGCAAGATCTTGACCAATGCAAAGAGGCAGATGAAGAGGAGGATCAAGCCAATGATAAAGGCGCAAACTCCAGAGGTACGGTCCACGGATTCAGTGGCTTCAGGGTCAAAGAAAGCAGGACAGTATGGAGTATCGGCCTTGCTGTCGCAGGAAAGAAGCCCAGAGCTGCAGGTAAGAGGATCATTGTAGTCGTCGCAAGCAAGAGTTCCATTGTTGGGGTAGTAGTCGTCGCAAACCTTCTTTCCAGAAGCAATGTCGCCGGCAACCTTCTTGTTGACAATGATGATGCGACTGGCAAGAGGAGAAACAAGCTTCTTGACTGGTCCCTCCCACTTTTCTCCGTCTTGGGCCTTGAAGTTCTTGACAAGAGCCTCAGTGAGGTAAAAGAGGTATCCTGTAGCGGCTTCGACAGGAAGCAAGATGGCCACGGACAAAAAGTTGAACATGTCGTGGACCGTAGCTCCAGCGAAAGCACGCTCGAGTTGATCGCCGTCTCCCAAGTGACCCATGGCAACGATGGTGTTGGTGACAGATGTACCAATATTGGCACCCATAATCATAAAAATTCCTTGCTTGACGGTGACAGAGTCAGCTCCGACGAGACTGACTACAATGGAAGTGGTGGTGGAAGAACTCTGCAACAAGACAGTGGCAACGATACCAACCATGAGTCCAGCAATGGGGTTCATGTCATCACCAAAAAGAGCACCTGCGGCACATCCTCCCATGACCTTGGCGCCGTTTCCAAGAAGGTCCAGTCCAACGAGGAAAAAGTATAGGAAAAAGAAAACAGCAACGAGTCCACCGAATGCCATGGCCCATTCGACTGGGCTTCTAACGCAGCAAGCCTTGCAGACTTCTCCCCAAGTGGCATCCATCTCGTAAGCGGGGTCGTTGACATCAAAGTCGGCATCTCCCACGTGCATGGAGCCTGTTGGGCGGTCCTTGCGGCTGTTGACTGGCTTTTCTTCAGACTGTTATACATGAGAAGAAACAAAGTGAGATTAGATGATGATGATGATGATAATGATGATAGATGTGTGTGTGATTGTGTTTTGACAAATCCGACAATACTGATGCATGATCGATGGATGTGATGTGATGTGATGTGATGTGATGTGTGTGTTTGTCGTTTGCTGAACATTGAATGCAAGGCAAATACAAATCCCGATAGCTCTTGGTGTAGCCATTACGCAAATGCTTGCTTACCATGTTGTTCTTGTTGAGTGATTCAATAAGATTGATCAGAGAAAATATGAGGATTGGAATGACAAAAGTCAAAACACAGGAATCAATACACAGGAAGAAAACATCTCAAATTCGCTAGCTGTATTTTCGTCGGTGGTTTCCATCTGTTGTCCCAATTAGGGATCTTGGCTCGAATCTTCCACGAATCTTGACCTCGAATCTCTATCGAATCTAGGTACAACTTAGGTAAAATCCCTACGGTGAAACCTATGTGACAAACGAACCCAATCTTCAAACTGCAGTTTCAATTTTAGAATTTCTGCCAAACATCACGGCGGAAGATTGAACGAATGGCGAAGAGAGGATCTGTGCGAGGTCTGAAGGTTGTATACGTGGTATTTTTTGTGGAAAAAGTACTGTGGACGTATACAAAGAATATCCGACAGTGAACTCCGCCACGAATTCGGCAATGAAACATATCAGCGCGACCATATTTTGGTCCGATCAAAAATTACGTGTGTCATGACGGTGGTCACACGTGTGTCATGTTCCGAATGTCTTTATTGGTCGCCACCACACCTACCGGTATACCGGTGCTCTCGGAGCTCGGAGTATACACCAACGGGACGGCTGGGAAAATCAACATTTACTCCCAAGAATTGTATGCTAAATTTCTATTACCCGGCCGTTCCCGATGGAATACTGTAGGTGTGAAAATCTGAGCATTCCAAGTGGTCCATGGAAGGCTTGTGTAAATGAATAAGGATGAGAAAGCGAGAAGTATGGTCCGGCAAACCTACATATTCTTTAAGATTTGGTCAGGCAATGAACCTAATGATATGTCGCTCATCATCTCAATCAGCACGACGCTGTATTGACTAATTGATTGATGATGTGGCGACAACAAAACATACCTCGACCATTCATCGTTGCCAATCGCAAGGATCAATCCGTCTTGAAGCGACGAGAGCCATGCAGAGGTGCGGCGTTATATAGTGCAATGTCACAGTACTACCGACAATCAATCAATCGGTCCGGACACCACGAGTGATTATTGACGTCATCGACAATAGCAATTGTTTTTAAAAGAAGACCCAGTCGTAAGGAACGAGACGAGATCTGACACCGTTTGCCATGGCAAAAATTGGCAATGATGCAAAGCGAGAGTATTGCGCAGTACATGATGGTCGTCACATTATTGTTTGGATTGATCATAATTTGAGGACCGTGGTGGTCAATTGTACATTACATACATTGAACATAGGCCAAGCCATCTTCAGTATGTCAATGCCTTTTTTTGGTATTTCTCTTTTCCTGGAACATTGTCATTATTACTATTATATATTATTACCCAAATTCGTGAGCCAACATCCTTTCGAATCGACCGAAATTGGAATCAATCAAAAAAGCAAACCGATGTGAGCTGCATGATAAAAACCCATCATAGCGCTCGGGGTAATAGTGTTATCCCTATAGTCCCCTGTATGTACATTTTCGTCACTGGTCATCAGTGGACCAGTCTCTAAAAGTATATAGATAGGCGCACCATGCTCTGCTGCTGAATGACTGCGTAGTACTTAGCCGCTGAGACTGCTCTCTATTGCGCAGTCCCCTGCTTGAGCGTCGATGTAGTATGCAACAAGCAACCACCTTATTCCTTTTGTAACAACAATGCTGTAGTACCAGGGCAAACATACTTTTGCTGCACCACCAAGAATGGTGCACGTTCGACGTCGTCCTCCAAAGATTCGCAGCTGCGAAAGCTGGAATCACAGGTACGAAAAGAAGATCCAAAGGTGTCCAGGCTGATATTCGAGCAACTGCCATCGTCGTCGTCGTCATCGCCGTGCAATATGCTTCCTCCCAGCTGAACTCCGAAGAAAAAGAGGAAGCAGAATCGCAACAAATGTCAATTTTCGTTGCAGGAGATTTTCCATGATACGGTCACCGCTACTGGTTCCAGTAGGGAAATTCTTGTCAAGCTCGGTGTTACAATCACTGCCCCATCGTTGTGATTGCAGTTCAATTTGATCTTGCAGTCAGAACATGCTCTCTTCTTTGCATTCTTATCGCTCACGATTTCAATCTTTGAAGTCTTGGTGGCAATAAGATTGCTCATAAAGAGAGACAATGCTGCTGTTGGAGGGATTCGTTTCAGCATTGCGTTGACTATGGTACCCAGTGGAAGCTTTCATTCTCAAAACTGTTGGTGTGGATGATTTGTGAGTGTTAATAGTGCTGATGATTCGTAAATGAAGATTGAACCGTACCAGATAAAAACGGTCAATAAGTAGATTATGTCAAATCATGTTTTACAATTATGGTTAGGGTTGGGGTTTGCCAGGCTTGGATACGGTACCACAGTAGGGCCACATTTTGAGAATGTGCCACATTCTGATTCGGCATATTCAATTTAATCTAAAAAATACATACAACACGAGGGGCAGGGTTGTAGTAGTGGGGACGAGGTGATTCTCCCCTATTATCCGATCCAATAGACAAGGAGGCCAAAATCCACATTGGTTGGAATGGTTTCACGACCGTGATATATACGAAGAATGTTGTGAAATTCAACACAGTATTGCGAATCATGTGGAAAGTTCGTGAATTTCACATTGTGTTCTTCGCATGACCATATATATAGCTTCAACTTTGTCGTTAGGGATGGTGTGGTCACTTTCAAATTCATCTAATATTACCGGTAAAGTGAGAAATCGACGAATATCCGGAATGACGATGATGTGGTGATTATGGGGTGGTCACAAATTCCCAATGTGGTATCTTTGCCGGTCTCACACCGGTCTAGTATGTTCCAGTGGGGCTCTCTGAGGCATCTCTGAGGCAGCACTATGCATGACTGGTCAGCTCATCGGTACCTAAAACCTAGTACCGGGCACTTGCATGCAGAAATGATGGAAGAAAGCTTCTGCATCGCCACGCTTATAGCTCCTTTAGGTGACCCGTAAAGATGAGTTTCTACCATTTGTCAAGTTTCCTTTCTCGAACAACACCCTCATCACCTTTACGTAACAATCCACCACTGACTTTTCGAATGCTAGACATTCTTCTCTCAAATAAGCGTTTTAAAAAAAAAAAGAACGGGGTAATCGAATGAATGGAAAAAGGGAAAATAGTAGATGATGTCTCTACAGTAGGCATGACTGAATCTCGTAAAACAACTAGAATTGTAGCCCGTTGGCAAAGTCCTCAAATAATCATAGCGTGATATACAATTTGAAATTCGTCCATGATATCGTCGCCATTCAAAAAGCAAAAATTCTCGGAAAGGCGCATCATGGTTCCAACACGATGTGGACACAAAGAATGTAAGATGCAATGTAAATCTAATGTGTCGGGCGCTCTCGGTTTGAATGCTCTTCCAGCTTCCACCTTGACATTATCATTGCACGCCAACGGTCGGAATCAGCCAAAGAATCACAGCTTCGAAGACTGCAATCAAAGGTATCGAGGCTGACATTCGAACAAATATCATCGTCATCGTCATCATGCAAAGGAAGCCAACTGAATTCCGACGACGAAGAATCCCGACGTTCAATGGACAATCTACGTTGTGGAAGATTGCTCATGATGTTGTTGCTACTGCTGATAGGGGGGCAAGTTTTGCTTTCTCCCCTTGTATTGTCATTCCATCGCTGATTGCGACGAATAGACAAGCGATTGCAGCGCTGCTTGATCTTGCATTCGCAAACTCCTCTCTTCTTTGCGTTATCGCTCACGATTTCAATCTTGGAAGCCTTGGCAATAAGATTGCTCAAAAAGAGAGACAGTGCCTCGCCGCTTTTGGAGTGAGTAGTCTCAACATTACTGTGATTATCCTGAGCCGTAACAATGTTCATTCTCAATTGTACGTAGATATTGAGAGTGGGTGATTTGTGAGCAGTGTTTTTGCTCAATCACTTCTGCGACACAAACTTTTGTGTGCAATAGAAAAAATGATGCGTACCAGATAATATCAATAAGTAAAGATCACCCGTCCTATATATAAAAATGAAGCAGGTCCTAAGTCTTCGGAAGACTCACTCTGTATTTTTATATTACTACGGATCAAATTCGTTCTTTTATATTATATATCTACTGGTAGAAAAGTGTAAATATCCGACGGCTGAAATTTCATTTTGTCGGGACAAAGCCCCGCTTGGTCGAGGAGCACTTTGGATCAAGATATGGCTGAAGTGAGAAGGAATTCATGGTGATCTTGCAGCATGTGTGCCGAGGCGAGTATGCTGCCCGGTCTGGGCTGCAAACAAGTGGTATTCCAACCATGGTGCTGATGCGATGAATGCACGAAACATAACTATTAAAATAGCTTCAATGTTACTAGACTGCCTCGTCTACGCTTTAGTTTTTATTGTCTCGATCTAATGTCATCATCCCGCATCACTAATCTCAGTTGCTTGCCTCTTTTGTCGTCTTTCTCAGCTTTTAAGTATCGATTGATGAGTAAATTCCCTGAATGTGATAAGCTCGTAAACAGATGTACTGCACCTTTTATCCTTGATGCTGAGTGTGATTAGCTCGTAAAAAGTAGTGATGCACCTTGTATCCTTCCGCGATTTACCCTTGTAACAAGTCTGAAAATGTTCACGAATGAATGCGTTTATGATTATTTTCACGTACAGCACTAACATAGTTTCTCCCATTGTGAACCGCGATGAAAACCACATCGTGTTTTTAAAACTCGGGTTCGGTTTTCCACGATCTTGTAATCGTACAAAACGCCGCAAACTGGCTCAATCAGGTTGATTTACTCGTAAAGGTAAGCACTGCGTATCAACTGTGAGGAGAGATGATCCCACCACTGCAGGAAGTTGATTGCCTCCATCCTGCATCAGCCAGTCATACTGTACCAGTCTCTGAGTTGAAACAAAGGTGGCTAAGTGCAACAGTATTTAGTATTATTTACATTGTTCCCGATATCTTTATCTATTAGTCCTATTGTATATGCAGTAATTGCATAATTACAGTTTGATTCCAGAACCCCTCCCTTGCTGTTTAGCTTGTTGTTGTTGGTGAGACGACCCTTTGGATTGAATATCTCCATAGGATGGTCGTCGTGTTGGCGGTGTCAGTGCTGTAGCCGCAGAAGTAGGAGTCGCATACTTTTGGCTGATCATCTGCAAAGCAATGTTGTAGGCTGGGAGTGGTTGTTCCAAAGCCGGTTCTTCTGCTGGTGCTGGTGCTGGTGAGCTCTGATCCAAGAATGCAAGATCAGCAGAGGCAGCGGAGCAAACAGAGGTATCCGAGTCTATCGACTCTCTTCGTTCAATGGAGGCTCTTCTTTGAGGACAGAAGATACCGGAGACTCGTCTCTTCATTGGTGCTTCCTTCTTGTTCACAGCCGGTGCCAGTGCAGATGCTGAGGAAGGAGCAGCAGCACCTAGGGATGAGGAAGAAGTACTAGACTCCCAGCGTTGTGACTTGCGAAAGCTGCGTCGTTGAGGGCACTTCGCGCCGCCCTTTAACGCATTGCCAAGTCTTCGGCAAGAAGACCTTCTCCTTCTTGCATTATCATCGACGATGACAATCTCCTTTACGTTCGAAAGAGATTGTGATTTCAGCAACTTCATGAATGATGCCAGGGCACATGGCTTGTTCTTGTTATCCATCTTTGTTTGTTTGATTTTGTATGTTTGATTTTGTTTGTTTGAGCGTTTGAGCGTTCGGTGGTGTGCTCGTTGTGCTAATGACTTTTTTGTGGGGGAGGCCCGGGCTCTGGCTCGTTTCGACTGTCAAAATGTGGGAGTGTTCTCACTGGGACCACATCAGAAACTGCTCAGACATTCTCAATTCGCATCCAGGCAGTGATACGAGGGAAATATTGAAAACCTGAGAACTCCAATGAAAGATAAAACTCCGCAGTCATAAGATCATGCATAGACAGCATCGATATTCAAAATCAAATGCAGTCATTACGGTAGAGGTAACGCGAAGCATCACATTTAACAACTTGTGACATTCAATGAGATCAGACAACCAGTTTTTCCCATTCATTCACTACACGTGTTTGAAGAAGTCATTTGAGGTTGAACTTCCTATCAAAAAGTTCGCACGAAATCGTAGGAAAGCATATTTTTCGCATGAAACCAGGCTTCTTTTAATTATTTTATAAAAAAGTTCTCAAGAAATCGGGAGAAGGCATCGGTAATATCTCCGTGTCTACCTTCACCCTTCACAAGCCTCCCTTTCAAGGGAGTTCCCAAAAAACGGGATGCATACAGACGTTTAGCGAAGGATCACAGATCATCACGACCTCCGGTTTAATTCTTGCCACCTCACTAGCTACCGGTAGGGGAAGTTCCAACCATTCTCAGTTGGCGAGAAGTTGCCAACCCAAAAGTTGTGTCTGGGAGTTTTAACATCACCAGCCCAAACCCAACTGCGAGTGGAGGTGCGCTTAATAATGTCATTCATCAACATCGTGACTTGACTCATAGACCAAATCAATTTAGACAATCTAAAACCCGGGCCAATGATTTGTGAAGTAAAAATATGAAATAGGGTATGCTAAGTAATGCACGGTATTGAATCAATCTAAACAGTGATGATTGCCATCACAGGTAACCAATGGATACCAAATTGAAACTCATCGTTGGCGCGAGTTGTTGCGTACCAACAACTTGGAAAGAATTCGCTTCGGCAAGCTCTTTCGTCTTTGCTTTGGTTCAGTCCAAGCGATTTCTGCTTCTTGAGCGTCTTTTTGGGCCAGCATCAAGGCTTTCTTGGCAGATTCAGCAGTAACTGTTTTGGAGACGTCGGCCAATGAATCGGCGCACACCTTGTCTTGCTCTGCTTGTGCTTTCATGACAGCTGTTACACACTTGCGAAACTTCTGTTCAAATGCTTGTGCAATTTCACCGGATTCCAATCCTCGGTAGTCCTCCTTCTTGGCCTTCTTTCCCTTCTCCATACGGGCAATGGTTTTCAGTTGCTCCGTTCTCATTTTTTCTTGTTCTTGAGGAGTCCAGAAGCACTTTTCAAACTCAATTGGGCTGTAATCCTTGTGAGATTCAACCACAATTACCTTTTCTTCCATGTTCAAAGCAAATCGAATTCTGCGTTCTGTGGAAGAAAGGCTGGTGGAGGAAGCGTTGCCGTTGATTTCGTCAATCACAACGTTGTTTTCAGCGAATTCGTGCTTGCATTGAGGAGCCATCTTTTTGTGTTTTTGCTTGGTTTGAGAAATGAGATTGCAAACTGCTTGTGGGTGGGGGAAAAAGTGAGAAGGATGGTGACTTTTGGAAGTTTGTAGATCTAGGAGGCGCTACCAAAGTCCGACGGGCGCTTCGTAGAAAAGTACCAATGGCAATCGTAAGCAGGTGGTCTGATGCTTACGTCACGTTCGGGAAGTTCTCTCCAAATCGGGGACGTGGTGTTTCCCAACACGTGAAAGTTCGAAAGTACCGATACGCCGGAGAGGTCGAAGAAATCGGAATTAATTTGTTCGAAATGAAGTCGAAGAGATCAATTTTCGATCGGAAGAAGATCGGTTTCAATTTTTGGGGTTGGGGGCGGACAGCACAGAGATTGAAAGTTCGCTCTTCTGGTCGACTTTGAAATATGTGCTTCGCACTTCATTTAACATGCAAATGCCAGTTGCTCGTAGATGACTTTTCTCATACTAAGTGTTAAACAATGACTGTCACTGTATTGTTCCTATTCCTATATCTAAAAATCCTTCGGATGCACTGAATCCAAGACCTTGGAGCTCCTCGGAGACGGATCATCTCTGATGTGTGAAGTTTCGAACGATCTCTCTGTGCCAGGTACCTGGTACCAGTAAAGCTGTGAGCTCATTTCAACTATCGATCACCGAGCATCGAGCACTTCCCATACGGTACTGCAATAGGTAACAACTTATTAGCAGCCGACATGACAAAGAACGCCACAGTCCCACCAGCTTCACCACTGGCCACGTTTATGAAAGGATTGATTGATTCCAAGAAATTCGATTCAGCAGAAATTGTCACTGACAACCCCAAACGATTGAGCGGTTCCGTTGTGCGTCGCCCACATCTCCATGGCAAAGAAGAGTCGCAACGATGGGAATCGTACGACAAGATTGAAAACGAATGCATCAACTGCCCTCAGCGACGAGCTTCGATTGATGATGATGATGTTTTTTTCTCAGATTTTGAAGGATCCTCCTGTTCCGAAGGTGATGATGATGATGATGATGAAGCGGATGATACCTCCAGCACACCCCTTCCGAGTGCCCCTCTATCGCCGCCCTTTGGAAATAATGAAATGGATGACGTGATGCTGCAAAATCACAATGAAAAGCAATCGTCATCTTTATCGTATCAAATGGCCTTGCAAATGGTTCAACAAAAGTATGCGGCATCGTCACTATCCTCTCCGACACAATCTCCAATTCAACAATCCAAGAATAAGTTACGTTCCGGTATTCGTGGTGGTGAATCATCTGTAAGGGGATAGGTGAATCGTCCATTCGTCCATACCACTTATATGCCAACACTATGATCTGAAGAATTTTGCATGGAATTTGTATGGAATCATCTTGATTTTATTTTTCAACTGTACAGTAGCAGTTATAAATATATAATATGATAATAACAAACATAAACAGGAAAGCAATTGCTCCAAGAAGACCGCATTTCAAAACTTGAAAGCAACCTGAACAAGTCAAGATCTATATCCTTCGAACTTGGGGGGAAGCCACTGCTTTTATGAATCATCATATTTCGACGATACGACTAACAAACATTCTTGATGCACCACTACTATTTACACCATAGGACCACTATCCTAAAATGCATTACAATGACCATTACAAAGGTAATAGAAATACTTCCTAGCAGGTACAGTTTTGCTGCGTTTCTGGTGTAGCATACTGTATATCCTCCAGAGATGAAACGAGACGCATGCATGTAGCACACAGTAATATCGGTGAATTCCTTATTTCATAGGCAATTTTAACTATTCATAATGGCTGGGAAAAGTGTAATTATAGTTATTATATTATAGAAGTTATTATACCTGGTACGAAATGTGGGGAAATCTTTTGCCCCCGCGAGGTGTACTTTTTTTATTTTATATGGATGTCTCTATATGAGCAACGAGTTTTAGCTGTGAGCCCCCAACCTTTTTTTGAGATTGTTGCTTTCTCACTTGCGACCTTCCCCTCAGCAGCATTCAAGATGATGTATCTAAACACTCCGACAGAATCACCGAATAGCAGTCCGTTTGAATTTGAAAGAATCAGGAAGGAAGTGGATTCAATCATTGCACAATGCATGAACGATACGACTCATGAAGAAAGACAAAAGTCGTACTTGGAAGTCCATGGAGTTACAAACGGCTTTGATGAGACCCCAGCGGCAGTCCAAGACGCTCTGGAAGGAATGAAGATGGAAATTCAAAAGATCACCAAGAATAGAGATGCTTTAACGCTTGCTGAATCAATGGACGAAGAGTACGTAAACGATCCTTCACTCCATCTCAAATTTCTTCGCGGTGAGAAGTTCAATGTAAAAAAAGCAGCACAAAAGTTTGTTCGGCATTTCGAATTGAAGTTGGAATTATTCGGTAAATCTAAGCTTGTAAAGGATATCGAACAAGAAGACCTGGGTGAAGATGACATGGAGGCTCTGCATCTTGGCTACGTTCAGTGGTTGCCTCTTCGCGACATCAGTGGACGAACTGTCACTGTTTACTTCACGGGCAAAACAGCATCAAAAGCAACACTGCTGTCAAAAGTACGTGTAGCTTCAGTTCTTCGTGTGTGAAACATATGATATGGATCTTCTCCTCATCAGTTTGTTTCCTGCTTTTGGATTTTGGCAGCTAAAAGTCTTCTTCTATTTGCGGATGATAGCAATGGAAGATGAGGTATTTCAAAAGAAAGGAATGGTTTTTATATCTCAGACTGGACTGGAATCTGAAGTTATGGAAGACGTGGATCAACCAGCAGAAGAGTTTGGCGTGAAAGAAACCGCGAGATTATGCGAAGCCCTTCCTGAATGCACTCAGAGCGTCCATGTTTGCATCCCAAACGTGTCGTCGATCGGTGCAATTGTTGCATTTGGCGTGTATCGGTTCGCGATGGCGGCATACAACAAACTAGTAGCCATCAGAACTCGAATCCATATAGGTAAGCTTGGCGGAATGCTGCTGCTTAAACTACTTTCATGATCGTCACCTCTCACGATGGTTGCCATTCTAGGTTCTTCGCAGGAGGAGTGCTTCAGCAAGCTTCAAGCATTTGGAATTCCAGTTGCTGTTATTCCCAAGTCACCGGCTGACAATGATTATCACATCAATCTAATGCAACGAAGAAAACGGTTGGAGCATAAGCGTCGTCAACGAAAACGACGACAGGGCGATGGCGGAATTAGGTTCAGCAGTCAAAATGATCAGGAGTCAGAGCAGGTTGAGGATTCAGATGACGAAGGATTTACAGTGTCCTTTGATCCTCTAGATGAAAGGTGTAATTGGATCTGTGCTGGCCCTGCACCGAGCGATGTCATCCTTGGTCGTGGCCGAAAGGCGAACAACCATCCTGGAAACATTCGATTGCGGACCATGGTGGATGATTTAATTGGCGTGTACAAGAATACTTCCAAAAGGGAAAAGACAGAAATCGCTCAGAGAGTAGTTGTCAGCATCCAAACCAACGGGAGATTCCTGAAAGAGAACGAAATGATTGGATGGGTGGAAGTACCCGATAAAGTCGCTCGCATCAAAGTCAGTCACGCCTTCCGAGATAGCTACAGGGTGAAGAGAAAGCAAGGCGGTGATAATGGTCAGAGTATGGTGGGTCAAAAGCATCAGCTAGAAATGCCCGCAGGGAAGCCCACCAGGGGTTCATAATACTGTAGCTAGCATAGTTTTGATCAAGAATTGGGGCTTTAGTCCTAACAATTACCCTGCAGATGTCTCCGGTGTAAGACACGCCATATTTTACGGGTATCCTTATCGCCCGACCACATGGTTCTGGCTGGCGGGCCTATTGTACCGTACATATTATGTTTCAGAGATGAAATGATAACTCAGCTTCAAAAGTGTCCGTTTGGAGTAAATCGTTGTGGTATTGTAGGTCAAATATTTTACTTCCGTCAGCGCGAAACCACGCGGCCATGTTAATCCAAAAACCTTGGATTACATACGGTTCTGTTGAACTTTCGCCAGGCAGGACATTCATCAGACATACCAATAAGTGCGTGTTCATATATAAAACATATTATACCGGCATATGTGGAAAACAATACAGCTCTGGAGAAAATTCCACAAATTCCACGACTTGTCAGTCAGCCTCATCATCATCTTGTTGTTGAGGTGGTACAGCTTTCTCATTTTCCCATCCTCTTCCACAACGTTCGAGACGATGGATACTAACAATCCGATAGAATCACCCACTAGTCCTTTTGAATTTGAGAAAGTTAGCAGAGAAGTCGACTCAATCATCGCACAATGCATGAACGACATGACTCACGAAGACAGAGAGCAATCGTACTTGGAAGTCCATGGAATTGTAGACAGATTTAATGAGACTCCAACGGCAGTTCAAGAAGCTCTAGAGGGAATGAAGGCAGCAATTGAAAAGAGTACCAAGAAAGATGCCTTAAAGCTTGCTGAATCAATGGACGAGGCGTACGTCAACGATTCTTCGCTTCACCTGAAATTTCTTCGTGGTGAAAAGTTCAACATTAAAAAAGCTGCACAAAAGTTTGTGCAACATTTTGAATTAAAGATGGAACTGTTCGGAGAATCTAATCTTGTAAAGGACATTGAACAAGAAGACCTGGATGAAAATGACACCAAGGCTCTATATCTTGGCTACGTTCAATGGCTACCCCTTAGGGACATCAGTGGGCGGACGGTCACTGTTTTTTTTCCTGGCAAAGCAACTGCACAACTCGACAGTTTGTCGAGGGTATGTATCGTTTCAGTGCTGAATGTATGAAAAAAATTTCATGAATATTTTCTTATCATATTTGTCTCCATTGTTGTATCATGCAGCAAAGGGTATTCTTCTATTTGCGGATGATAGCAATGGAAGATGAGGCATTCCAAAAGAAAGGAATGGTGCTCGTAATTCCTTCGGGAAAGGAATCTGAATTTATGGAAAAGGTCGAGCAGCCAGCAATGCAGACCGCTGTGAAAGACATGACAAGATTGAGCGAAGCCCTTCCGGGATACACTCAGAGCATTCATTTTTGCTTCTCAAACGTGACATCGGTCGGCGCGATTGTAGTCTTTGGCATGGTTCGTTTCATGATGGTCGCATTTAGTAATTTGATTACGATCCGCTCTCGAATTCACAAAGGCAGGTCACAAGGAATGCTGCTATCTGAACCAGCTTTTATGATTTTCGTCCCTCACAATCATTGCCAATGTAGCTTCTTCGCAGGAGGAGTGTTTGAGCAAGCTTCAAGCATTTGGAATCCCAGTTGCTGTAATTCCCAAATCCCCGGCCGATAATGATTATCACACCACTGTCCTCCAACGAAGAAAACGGTTGGAGCATAAGCGTCGTCAACGAAAACAACGACAGGGCGATGATGGTAAAAGGTCCAGCAGTCAAAGTGATCAGGAGTCAGAGCAGGTTGAAGATTCAGATGACGAAGGATTTACAGTGTCTTTTGATCCTCTAGATGAAAAGTGTAATTGGATCTGTGCTGGCCCGGGGCCGAGCGATGTCATCCTTGGTCGTGGCCGAAAGGCGAACAACCATACTGGAAATATTCGATTGCGGACCATGGTGGAGGAACTAAGTGACGTGTATAAAACTAGTTCCAAGAAGCAGAAGACGGAGATCACCCAGAGAGTAGTTGACAGCATCCATATCAACGGAAGATTCTTGAAGGAGAGCGAAATGATTGGGTGGGTGGAAGTACCCGATGAAGTCGCTCGCATCAAAGTCAGTCACGCCTTCCGAGATAGCTATAAAGTGAAGAGAAAGCAGGCTGACAAGAGTCAGAATATGGTGGGTCAAAAGCATCGGTTGGAATTGTCTCTAGAGAAGCCGAACAGGAGGGTTGCATGAAATTCTGTTGATCAGGAGCGAAGTGGGGCCTAACGGCGCTACAATGATACTGTACCGGTCTAGCGCGACCTTCACAAGACGTATTACTACCATCGCAGACAGTACCAGTGCCCTATGCGGATATCTGGTAAAAGGAAAATCACTGAAAGAAGGCCCTTGCTGAACTCTGTTTCAGAGGTTCTCAACGATGAATATCGACCAAAACTTGAGTTATCACATTCGGTCGAATTCAGCTCCAATGAATCATGTTTGCAGACTTTTAGTTTCAAATTTCTGCACCCGAGCTCTGGTGGAGTATTTTGTGAAAGAACTGAGATCACAGTACAGAATTTGTCTGCATTCTTCCTGCTTCGCCCTTCAACGCTACGGTTCTTCTGTCCTGGATCGAAAGCTGAAGATCATTAGCACTATTATCATCATATTAGATGCAACTCTAGTCGCCAGGATGTAATCTTGATCCATGTCAGATACCTAAAGTACTAGTACCAGGGTACAACTTAGAGTAGTCATGAGCGACAGTCGGAGATATGCATGCACGTCCCTCAGGGATCAACAAAAGTCACCCAAGCGCCCATGCGTTTCGAGATATCGTAGCTGTGGTGAAGAGAAAGCAGGCTGATATGAGTTAGAGTATGGTGGGTCAAAATCATTGGTTGGAAGCCGACGGTTGAATCATACCATACTGGTACCATTTTTCTAAATGGAGGCTAAACATGTACCTCGAGATTTTGAAGTTATCGCGCAGCAGAATATTCCACATAAATCATTCGGTACCGGTACGGCACCTGGTACCTGGTACTGTACGCGGTACTGGTACCTTCGAAACGATATTAGTACATTATTACCGTACATACTGTACGTACACGTACACATACTGTGCCCAAGAAATAACATCGTAGATTGAATATTGTATGATGACATACAGCCAAATTTTACACATACAATTGTGATTATGGACAAAGCAGATGATTCGTTTAATGTTGGCAGCATGATGAATGAAGTTGATGCGGTCATAGCTCAGAATCTGAAGGAGCTTTCGCCTGAAGACCGTGAGAAATCGTACTTTGCCATTCATGGCGTCCCTGGAGAATTGAGAGAGACGCCACTGTTGGTTTCTCAGTCACTCGAAGTGATGGAGCAAGAGATTAATCAAGAACCTAGAAAGGATGCCTATAATCTGGCAAAATCAATGAAACCGGAATATGTGCAAGATCCAGTTCTCAGGTTGAAATTCCTGAGAGGTGAGCGCTTCAGTGCTCGGCCTGCAGCTCAGAAATTGGTGAGACACTTTGAATTGAAGCTGTATTTGTTTGGCGCTTCCAAATTGGTAAAGGATATTGAACAAGATGATTTGAGCAACGAAGATATGGTAGCTCTGTATAGTGGTTACGTCCAATGGTCACGAGTGAAGGACAGTTCAAAAAGAACTGTTTCCATCATGTTCCCGTTGATAAGTTCTCAGCAAGTTCCAGTGATGTCAAGGGTAAGTGCACCGTGTGGCATGCAGCTTCATCTTGTAGCATATGCAAATACTTATCGTGGCCTTTTATTATTATTATTATTATCATTATTTGAAACAAGATGAGAGTATCGTTCTACCTTCGAATGATAGCAATGGAAGACATGGATTTTCAGCAGCATGGCACCGTCGCAATAGTTTCAGCAGCCGAAGTTGGTGACAGCTTTGATCTTGACTTTAATGGATGGCGAGATGGTGCTCGACGAGTAGCGCAACTTACGGAGGCATTACCAGGCTCTTCGAATGGAGTTCACATCTGTTTTCCACGAAATGGATCGTTTCGCAGTTACTTGTTTTCATCACTTCTCAATATTGCCGTTTCAGTGTTGAGTCCTCTATTAAAGGTTCGAGTACGGATACATAGAGGTGAGATAACCGGTTGATGTACAAATGCCTTTTGTTTGGATCACATTCTCAGACAGCACTATGCCTTTACTTTTACATATCATGCATCAGGGGAGACAATGGAAGAGTGTATTGCAACTCTGAGGTCATTTGGAATAAAAACAGATGATATTCCAAAGTCACCGCAAGACAATGAGTATCAGACAAATCTCCTACTGATTCGAAGAAAGTTGGAGCAAAGTCGGCGTCGTGAAAATGGCAGTGTGGACATTTCTTCGCCAGCGAACCTCGATCTTTCTGAAGACTTGAGGGAATGGGGTTCCGGTCCCAGCAGTTACGATGTCATTCTGGGACGAGGGCAACGAAGCACTTTCCACCCGGGCAATGTGAGACTTCGGAAACTAGTTGATGAAACCAAGAGCATCTATGACAATAGCACAAAGAGTCAAAAGACTGATATTGCGGTCCGCCTAGTCCTCACCATTAAAGAGCAAGGCCGATTCATCCAAGAGTCCGAGTTTGGTTGGGAGGAAGTGACAGACAAAGATGCTCGCAAAAAAGTGAGTCATCTATTTCGAGACACTTCCAAGACGAAGTGGAAGAAACCTCCCACGGGAAGTCTGGTGTAGAAGATGACTCCAATAGAAGTAGTATCTGGTGTTGGGAAGAGAGAAGAGGCATCGGAATCAGTATCCGATCTGCAGCAGCCACAATCAAATGCTTCAATGGGACCAGATGTACAAACATGCCCCTCTGTATAACTAGATAGATGCACGTAATACTATCATGCATATACTATCCTATAGCATCTCGCACAAATGCGTTATTAAATCGTGTTCGAAATCTGTCCGATAAAAAGCAGAAACGAACATTCTTGTTCGACAACATCAATCGCACATTCAATATTTTAATGATATATGATGACTACGATGACTGCGGCTGCTATCATGCAGAGAGCCCAGAGGTGTTTAAGCCTATCGCAACTCCATGAGATTTTGTGTACCCTTCCTCGCTTGTTTCCTTCAAGATGATGTATTCAAACCCTCCGACAGAATCGCCGAGTAGCAGTCCTTTTGAATTTGAAAGAATCAGCAAGGAAGTTGATTCAATCATTGCACAATGCATGACCGAGACGCCTCATGATGAAAGGCAAAAGTCGTACTTGGAAGTCCATGAAGTTAGTAACGTGTTTGACGAGACTCCAGCGGCAGTCCAAGACGCTCTGGAAGGAATGAAGATGGAAATTCAAAAGATCACCAAGAATAGAGATGCTTTAACGCTTGCTGAATCAATGGACGAGGAGTACGTGAACGATCCTTCCCTCCGTCTCAAGTTTCTTCGTGGTGAGAAGTTCAATGTAAAAAAAGCAGCACAAAAGTTTGTTCGGCATTTCGAATTGAAGTTGGAACTCTTCGGAAATTCTAAGCTTGTAAAGGATATCGAACAAGACGACTTGGGCGAAGGTGAAACTAAGGCTCTATATCTTGGCTACGTTCAATGGTTACCCCTTCGCGACATCAGTGGACGAACTGTCACAGTTTACTTCACGGGCAAAACAAGTGGCGAAGAAAGTGACGAAGCAAGAAGCTTATTGAATGTATGTATTGTCTCAGTGCTGAATGCAATGTATGAAGCAGATTGGATTAATCTTCCTCACGTGATGTTTGTTTTCTACTGTTTCAGGAGCTAAAAGTCTTCTTCTATTTGCGCATGATAGCAATGGAAGATGAGGCATTTCAGAAGAATGGAGTGGTGCTTATCACTCTTACCGGAAATGAATCTGAAGCTAGGGAAAGCATGGAGCAGCCAGCAATACAGAGCAATTTGAAAGAAAGGGCAAGGCTGGGCGAAGCCCTTCCTGGATACAATCAGTGCATTCATTTTTGCTTCTCAAACGTAACATCAATCGGCGCAATTGCAGTCCTTGGCATGGCTCGATTCTTGATAGCTGTAATGAGTAATTTCATAACGATACGCACTCGTATTCATAAAGGTGAGTTGGAAGGAAAGCTGAGCCTGAACCTACTTTTATGATTTTCATCCCTCACAAGCATTCCTACGAAATATAGGTGCATCACAGCATCAGTGTTTGAGCAAACTTCAAACATTTGGAATCCCAGTTACTGTAATTCCCAAGTCACCGACCGATAATGATTATCACACCACTGTCCTGCAACGAAGAAAACGGTTGGAGCAAAAACGTCGTCAGCTCAAGCAACAACAGAACAATAAGTCTCGTCGTCAAATTGATGAGGAGCCAGAGCAGGTTGAGGATTCGGATGACGAAGGAGTTACAGTGTCCTTTGATCCTCTAGATGAAAAGTGCGGCTGGATCTGTGCTGGCCCGGCACCGCGCGATGTCATTCTTGGCCGTGGCCTGAAAAAGAACAATCATCCTGGAAATATTCGATTGCGAGCCATGGTGGAGGAACTAAGTGACGTATACAAGAGTAGTTCCAAGAAGGAAAAGACAGAAATCACTCAGAGAATAGTTGCAAGCATCCAAACCATTGGGAGGTTCCTAAAGGAGAGTGACATGATTGGGTGGATGGAGGTGCCCGATGATGTGGCTCGCATCAAAGTCAGTCACGCCTTCCGAGATATCGATAAAGTGAAGCGAAAGCAAGGCTGTGGCAATAGCCAGACTTTGTAGGGTCATAAGCACCAGCTGGATTGGTCCGCAGAGAAGCCCACCAGGGTGCACAGTAGAGCTGGCTTGTCGCCATCGTTATCAAGATACCAGATGATCCTCTATGGATACTGCTGGCATGTGAAGAAAGGAGAGACATTCGATTCAGTTTCCAAACTGCAACAGCCACAATGAATGTCTACGATCGAACCGAACGTGCCAACACACCCACAGGAATGGCTTGCTAGTAAATGAATATAGCGGTGTCACATGTATATTCTATATTGTATCATCACGTGGTTTAGTCTATTTTCTCAGTAGCCCAAATCCAAATCTATATATATAGTAGTAGCTTTCAAATCTCACTCATGGAGAAGTGCCATGAGCAGATTTTCCGAATCCACTACCAAAGTCTCCCTGGTTTTGTATAGTTGGACAAGCCATTGTCCTTTGCGGTTCGATGATTCATGTTTCACCTTGACAATCTTTCCATTGAGTGCTGATGTTGCTCCTGTCATATCTTGAAGTACCCCAATGTCTCCGGATCCAATATCCAGGCTCATGATGGATGAATCATCATCATCATCATCATCTTCGTTCTCGTCGTGATATGTCATCACATGGATGCTCTGTTTGGCATTCGACTTGTTGGTAATATATTGGTGACTGGTGTTGATGGAAGATGTCATTCTGATGTTTCGGATGTGTGTGCTCGATTGATTGTGTATCACAAGCTTGTGTATCTGTATCTGTGTTTGTTCTTGTACTGTGCACTTTATGAGGTTGCCAAGGTGTCCCGCTTGTACATCACCATCATGATTCCCACTTGGAAACAAATACGAACCAAGATTCAAGACTATGAGAAAGCTTCGATGGAATCTGTGATTGATTTTTGTGTTTGCGATGATTGGCATATAATAATTTTGCCAAACCCAAGACGTCACCAGTTCGAACGTCTGTCCGATGAAAAAGGTACGACTGAAAACGAACAAAATTTGTCCTCGCAAACCGATACTTTTGATTCCATCACGAGAATGACAATAATGAAGGGTGCGCAATCTCACAGGTCTCTTGATCAGATGAAAATAGTAGGTAGGTAGGTATTGTTATTGTATAAAATTCCGGTTGCACTTTCAACATAGGGAACTAGATGGAAAGAACGCTTCACCGCTACTGCCAGGGTGCCAGGGTTCTCGTTGGGGGATCATGGCGAATTCCAACGCTCAAATTCTGCAGGTGTCTTATATCAAAATCCGAACTTTAAACAGAATACTGTTGTAAGCCACAATAAGTATGGGTTACGGTTCTCATACGATTATGATACTTTTTCTTCGCCTTTTACACAAAACAAAACGGCAAACACAATTAAGCCTACCTACCATATAGTCTATTGGATGAAGCACAATGGAAAGCAATACGCATAACACTTGTTCGACAACCTATGATGTCTACGACATTGATGGAACGCTCACTCGACCTGGCCATGATCTATGGTACTTGACGACCAAATCATTGGTGAAGGATGAGGTTGCCTTTGACAACCGAGTCAAGCGATGGAAGAAGGAAGTGAAAGAGAAAGAGAAAGAGAATGATAATGATGCTGTGATGAATGATGCAACTGAATCCAATATGAAGGATTCCATCCATATGGTCGCAGCCGCTACCAACAGCGATGGCGTTCTACAGAAAGCAAAGTCCATCGCAAGCGATCTGATGCGGCAAGGAATCGTGTCCTCTGAATGGGCAACCTTTGTCAAGCAACGTATAGCTCAAGGTGCAACCCCCATCTTGAGCACCACCAATTATGAGGAAGGCGCACAGGGATTGATTCAGGCACTTTTGGAGGCGACATGGATCACTCAAGAAGAAGCGGACAAGTTTCTCGTATCAGGAACCAAGGTCAACTGGTCCGACCGATCCATTGTTCATTTCAACATGGACACGAAGAAGGCAATGGGCATTCTTCAAGCTACGGGCAAGGATTCCCTTTCAGAACTTGAGAATGCGGTGGAAAATGTCTTTGGGAACGATCCATTGGGCGGCGCCAAGGACAATGCCAAGCTGGAGCTTCCGCCAAGGATGCATCGAATGTCATGGCTTCACTGGAGAGATACAGAGAAACACCGCATGCCAGTTGGCCTTATGAATGTTGCTATTGAAACGAATATGACGAGACGAAACTCACCCATGGACAACGTGGCAAACACACGGATGCTGTCGACTTCAAGTCTAACTGGTTTCCCTCATGTCGTTGTGGTAGGCGGGGGCTTTTGCGGAGTGGTGGTGGCAAGGCTACTCCAATACAACACTGCCTGTGATGTCACTTTGATTGATCCAAAGCCTTACTTTGAATACGTTGGTGCACTACCCAAGTCACTCTTGAACGAAAAGTTTTCTCGTGTCCCTCTCGCAACAGCGCTTCCTCATACCAGCATCATCCAAGGTTGGGCTGAATCGGTTAGCGACTCACACGTGGCCATTTCGATTGATGGCGAAGGAGGATCCCATCCAGTCAGCATCAATATCACTTACGACCATTTGGTGCTTGCCACTGGATCCAACTACCCCGCCGGAATTAAATATTCTCACGATCATGATTCGAAGGGAGTCTCACGATTGATGGACCTGAAACAGAAGAAAGCAGAGGTGGTGGCCGCCAAATCGATACTCATTGTTGGCGGTGGCCTAGTCGGAGTGGAAATCGCCACGGAAGTCAAGAGTACCTATCCCAACAAACAGGTGACCATTCTGGATCGTCTCCCATGTTTGTTCCCACGGATCCTGGGAGGCCATGAACTGGTCAGCAACCGACTTGAAGAACTTGGCATTCTAGTTCATTTGAATCAAGAGGTGGATCGATTGGATCCGGATACCCACGAATACGTCACCCAATCAGGGCAGCGGTTTTTGGTGGATCATGCCATTTGGTGCGGAGGCCCACAACCCAATGCCACGCTCGTACCGTCTTTGGCCAATGCCTTTCCATCCCAGAAGATTGCGACTGCCGATTCGCATCTAGACGCGGACGAATTCTTGAATTTGAAGGGTAGTAATGGCCGAGTATGGTGCGGGGGTGACATTTGTCGTCAGACTGGACATGCTGGACTTGGATTTGGAGGAATCGGAGAGGAAGCCACTGCCGCACGAGCCATTGAACAAGGTAGAGTCATTGCCCATAACATTGTTCAGAGCCTCAAGAAGAATGCAGAAGAAGAAGAGGAACAAGGCAACAAGGTCCCATTGGCAGTGTACGGGGAGCGCAGCGATGGTACTAGTGGTGGTTGTAGGGACCATCATAACAGCATCATGAGCGACAAGGCCGACATTCCAAGCATGATTGTTTCCTTGGGCGGAAATCGAGCTCTCGTGGTCATTGACAATTATCCAGTGGAAGGTCCCTTCCGCCATTTGAAAGAGCAGGTGGAGAATCTGTTTCTCTCACAAATCTCACTTGGCGGCGCCAACTCTGGACGACTCCAAGACCCCTACGTTTTGTTGAACAAGGTGGATACGAATCGACTTGAGGAATATGCCCGCAAGAATATGGAACCAACCCTGAGGGATCTCTTGACCCCGGAACTTCCTCATCTCGTGCGCGATACCATGAATTGCTTTGTTCCAAGAGCTACATCCCGTCAGAAGCTGCGACCATAATCTGAATTTTTTAGAGGGATCTCAATCGATCCTGCCAGAACTTCCTCATCCCGTTTACGACACCTTGGATTATACGTCTTTGTTTCACAATCCCGTCACCAGCTACCGACATAGGAGGAAGAAGCACTTTTTTGCATACATACGATAGTGTAGAAATATTTGTCCAAGTGTAATACAGTTTTCAATGTTATTTTCACTAACGGCACAGTGCTATTATGCATTACATGATGATATCATGATCTCTTTTCTCTATGGTAATCTATTTGAGTTGTGTGGCATGATGATGCCAAGACGAGTAGGCATACATGCAGTAATTATGAATGAAAGGATGAGATTGCAAAGAGATGGGCTTCATCCACAATCATCATCTTTCCGGTATCTTGCACTTGCACGAGCCATCGGCCCTTTTTGCTGGATTCTCGTTTGATTTTGACCATCTTTCCATTGAGTCCATCTTTGTCGTTTGTGCCATAATGAAGGACCAAGGTATCGCCAGCTGCAATTTCCAGCGTCATGGCACTGGTATCATCATCATCGTCTTCTTCTTCTTCGACGTCCGCAGATGGTTTGAGCACGCGGACTTGAACCTTGAGGCTTTCCTTGATTAGTTTCTCAATTTCTTTGATTCCACCTTCATAGCAAGACACATCCTGTTCTTGGAACTCTAGAAGTCGATCCCCGGGTTTGACTTGGGTGAACATTTCAAAGGCGCCATCCACGCGCTCAACACGAATCACACCATCTTCGTCTTCCATGAGATGCAAACCCGCATTTTGTTTGAGACTCGGTTTTGTAATGCTGGCCCACAGAAGGTCCTTGACGTTGTATTTCTGAAGGAGATTGGTAGTCTTCTTGTTGTCGTTGTTGGTGGTGCTGGTGTTGCTATTGATGGCAGTCATGTTGAGTTTGTTGTTGTTGTTGTTGTTGTTGTTGTTCTATTGCTTGGTGCTTTTATGCGCTTGGCACGATCTAATATTGTGCGGTTCTGAATCAGATGAGAAGGTCCAAGATCTCTTCATCAGTCAAAACGCGTTTGATACCAGTAATAAAGTGACCGTCAAATAAATACCAGATCTTGTGCGACACGAGCTCGACACCATATATGTGTGTTGGAGCGAGAAAACTTCGATCGTTTGAACGGCAGAATTTTTTTGGTTCGGTTGGGTTCGAAAACCTGACAGCTGACTGACTGCTGACTGACACGACGGCAGTTTCACAACCTGCAGGCGTGCGGCAGGTAAAGTTTTTAATTTACCGTTGACTTTTGTGAGCGAACCGTTCCAAAACTTCGGTGGCTTCCTACCAATGACGTTTTTTGCACCTCGCATGCGGTCTTTTGCACGGTACAATAAACATATGTGCGATAAATTTTGGATGATTATTCGGGCACGCTTCTTCGCACGTGTCATGCGCGATATTTGAGTTCCACAAAATGCTTCAGGAAAGAAAAAATTGAATCACCTGTGAAGCTACCTGATACATATCCTATCGATACACATACGAATCTTTCCATTCCTCCTTCCATTATTGTGTTGTCACATCTGTTTACGGTATTTATTATTCTCAATCGAATACCAGAGCAACCAAGAAGTGTAGTTTGCATTCATTAACAGGATCAAGACCAATACCAAGACAGCAAACAAGAGACATCAACGCAGACAAGTTCCGTCATTGAAACACTGCACACACTACACACAATACAATATGACGAGTGGAACTACCCGGCAGATTGAGATCTTCTTCTTGTGCTTCTTTGGCTTACTGTTAATATTACTCTTTCTCAGTAAATTCCTGCACAACCGACCCAAATTGCATTCGATTCTCAGCGAACCAGCCCTGACGGTGGTCTTTGGAATCATATGCAGTTTTGTCATCAAGGCCCTGCAGAGAATAGATGCGTCCTCGGTCGGCGACGACGATGAATCAGATTCTGCCTATCTGGCCGAAGCCATTTTGGAATTTCCGACCCGAGTCTTTTTCATGGCCTTGCTTCCGCCCATTCTCTTCAATTCAGGATATCAGCTGCAACGCGAACTCTTTCACAGACATTTTGGAGCCATTTCTCTCTTCGCCTGTGTGGGAACCTGCATATCGGGATTCACAGTGGGATACTTGTTGTATATGGCTAAACCATACTTTGGAAGTGATTTCGATCCTACATTGTTGGAATTGATGACCTTCGGATCCCTATTAGCCGCCACGGATACAGTCAGTGTGGTCTCCATTATGAACAGCAAAAAGGTCGACCCTCACCTTTACAGTCTGGTCTTTGGAGAGTCCGCGTTGAACGATGCAGTCGCCATTGTTCTTTTTCATACCATGGCAGACTTTATGGTACAACACGGAGAAAACATGGATCACGACTCTTTTGTGGAATATGTTTGGGCATATTTTCTCAGCTTTTTGGTGGAAGCGCTGTGCTCACCACTCCTTGGAATTGTCTTTGCCTTTGGAATGGCATTGACCTTGAGATATGGAGACCTGAAGGAACATGCTCTCATTGAATTGTCTGTATTTTTACTGCCCATTTACATTTCCTACATTCTGGCGGAAGTCCTGGGAATGAGCGGGATGATCACGGTATTCTTTACGGGAATGTTTGCCAAGCGATATATGGAGCCAAACGTCGCGACCAAGACTGCACAACATGCAGACGTCTTTTTCCAGTTGGCTGCCTTTTTGGCGGAAACTTCCATCTTTTTGGAACTGGGTCTCAGCGTATTTGGTCTATCCGGAAATTACTACTGGAAATTCATTGGTATCTCCTTGGTTGTGTCGCTCGTGGGCCGGGCACTCAGCATTTATCCACTCGCCGTCATACACAACCTTTCGCTGACGCGTCTCAAAAGGAAGGAAGACAACGCCAACAACAGCAACAACAAGACAGAATCAACCATGGATGATTCGGTACCATCCCAAGGGAGCCATTTGACCAACGCAGTCTCCAATGCATCTTTTGAAACTCCCGTCAACAAACGAGACAAGCTGATCCCACTCAAATTCATGCACTTTTTGTGGTTTGCGGGATTGCGAGGAGCAGTGGCGTACGCCTGTGCCAGAAAGTTTCCCGATATTTATGGACACAATGCCGAATTCGTGGCAGCCACCATGGTCATTGTCGTATTTACCATTGTATTCATGGGAGGTGCTACCGAATTGGTCATGGTCAAGTTGAAGATTTCCGTGGATGTCGATGAAAGGGAATACATGCGTCACTGGCATTCGAGAAGAAAGTTAAAAGGATTTCTTCATCGCTTTGGTAAGAACAATTGACTGCATGCATCTGAATTTGTCTGTTGCCAATCTCATTTCCTCACTCACTGACTCACTCACTCACCTTCTCACTCCCTTTTGCAGAATACCAATTTCTATACAAATGCGCGGTCGAAAAAGAAGACGAACGGGAACTCCCAGCAGAACCAATCCAAGAAATGGCCACATGGGAAGTCTCCAACACACCCATTCAAGCAACTAGTTTTGGAAAGACAGTCTTAGCCAATCAAGCGGACTCGCACCATTTCGAACACCGCATGGATAACTATATCAATGGTGGTGTGGTAGTCATTGATCGTCTGAATCAACAACGCTTTAGCACGAGAACCTTGAGCGACGATTCCATGTCATTTGACTATCGAAACGCGAGTGATCCGTCGGCGGTGCAATGCTGTGCCCAAATCATATAGTACTACTACAAGCACAAGTTTTGGACCACAATACAAAAGTACAAACAACAGAAACAGACAAGACAGGAAACCGACAAAAAAATTAATAACCCTATTATAGAGTGTACCATTAGATTAGTGCTGATTAATAGTGATAGTCAGAGTAGTGATCGGTATTTCTTTCTACTTTTTACAATATCTATGATTTCGACAACAATGATTGATTGTGTGATTGATCCTCTGGTGTATCTATGGAAGATCATGTATGTGTCATCACAATGTTGGTGCGGTAGCCAAGGCAAGACCAAGCATACGGCAGTGGAGGTGCAGCGACATTATGGTCAACCGAGAGTCTTGTCCTGTTCTAATTACGAACAATTTGTTATTAATATATCCGCAGTTTCTTGCCCTCAAAGGCTTGTCCATTCATTCGGGCAGTCTCTCGCCGGACAATGCGTTCCCATCGCGGCTGTCCCTTGACTGGATGTTCCCAAAATCGTTGGGTCTTGCCAATGGTAATCATGGTGATTGGCTTGGGCGATTTGATGGCAATGGACGAGAGATCATGATCTTCGTGGCCTTCCTTGTATCCACGAAACTTTCGTTGACTTGACGGTAAATTGGTCAACTCCAAATGATTCTTAGGAGGACAGTTCGGTGCTTCTCGGACCACCCATTCGGCCAAGTCCCGGCTCAGCAAATACATTTGTCCTGCCAGATAGAGATGGACTCGTTCCCATTCAAATTGCCAGTATGCTTCCTTTTGGATAAAGGCTTCCTTGGTGTCAGGTCGAGGCCAATGATACTTGTTGCGCAAGGCACCCGCAAATACCCGATGATAATAGGGATACGGAGGCAAGTTGGAATGCGCGAAGGCCAAGAAATCATGCAAGTGCAGGATGGAATCTGCATCTAGCTTCATGGCATAATCCAGTTTATATTTTTTCATCATGACGGATGCAAAGTAGACAAAGGATTCTGATTTTCCGTCATTCATATTTTCCCTGAAAGTAGTTTTGATTATGACAGAGAAAAAAGAAGGATTAGGTCAGCAGGATTTGTTCAATAGATAGCTAACGAGGCTACTATAGCCAGGCTAGATATGACATACCGGATATTCAGTAATGATGTGTCGGGAGCATTGACATCGTCGTGCTTGGTTGCAATTGGTTTTTCGACTAACAATGGCCAAGAATCATTGACCAATTGGGTGGGTGCGGAGGAATTCCCGGCTCCTAATATAAAGGTATAGACCACTTGGCAATCGGGTGTAACCTCGTTCAGTGAACATACTCTTGTGTCATTCCATATTTCAAACATGGTTCTATGTCGTTTCCGATAAGTGCAATCGTTGAACGAATCACTGGAAATGATTCCAATCAGTGTTCTGGGTGCATTTCGTTCACCCTTCCGTATGGCATTGGATACTGAGGAACCTTTGTCCCCAAATGGACCACTTTGTTGCTGACTGAGCTGGGAGTTGACGGATCGTGATGGAAGTAACCGAGAATGTTGGTCGGATGATAGCAATGCTGACTCGGAAGCAGTAGATATTGTTTTGGATGATGTTAAGGACAGTGAAGAAAACAGGCCACCAACGGCTGCCGATTGTGACTCTAGATTCTTCTTTTTGGAAGCATTTTGTATGGCGTATTTAAAGTTCATTGTGATGATGCATAAGCATAAGAGAACAATCACCCATATCAGCCTCTTTGGTGAGAACATAAAGGATGAAGAAGTTTGAGATGCATTGCTCGGAGTTGAATAGGAGCGACCCCTTTGAAGCTTAATAGAGCTCATATTGTATTATGATTGCTCTTGGTTGATTGCGTATATGTAATGAACGAGCTTCTTCTCTTGTGTTTCATTCAGCTGCAGCAATTCCCGACTTTCCAATGGCAGTTACTATTACTATTACTGTATCGTACTTGTACGGTAAAACTCTTTTCAGTTGAGAAAGCTCATCATCCAGCTTCAGGTTTTTCAAATTCTCGTTTTGCGTGCTTATTCGGATGGGTCGGGATTTCAAAAACCGCGGCAAAGCGAGCCAAACCAAAATGCCGTGCGTGAGGAAATCAAATAGATACTGGTTCATTGCCGATTCAAAAATTAGTACCGGCGCGTTACACAAGATTTAGGAGTGGCCGGTGTTCATCATGTCCTAACTAAAAAGGATGGACTAACGAAGTGAGCGGGCGTGGTCACAAAATCCTTGGCGAAAATGGAAGGTATTTGGTAGAAGAGATTAAAACCACAATCTGGAAGCTCTACTGTACTGCACTGGTTGGAACACTTCAAAACAAAAAGATCAAACGCCGAAAGCAAGGATGAAAATAAAATCCCTGTTGTCCAAATTCCAACGCAAGAAGAAAAGCGATAATGTGCTTAAGCAGCAGGGTAACAGCAAGGAGAAGAACCTAAAACAGAGAAACAAGAAGAGAGGCACCACAAATGTGGTTGGATCTCCTTCGTCGTCTCTCCGAACACAACGAACAGACGATGATGACAGTGATGGACTCTACCATCCCGATTACGTTCCACCCCCATCTCTTAACTTTGTACAAGATGATCAAGATATCGGAGAAGCAGCTGTTTCGCAAGATTGCCCGGAAACAACATCACAGGCGCTGAATGAGAGTTTGTATTCCGATGATATTGTTGGAGAAAATATACCAGCAAAATCTCGAGATCTCACCAACAAGAGGTCTGTTACCCATGGAGTGCCGAGTGAGATGGTTTGGACGAATGCCGCCTTGTTGGATGATCTATCGGAGGATGAAAACAACACCAACATTCATTCTTCTGAGTATCACCACCCGGATGGTGAAGTCGACGAGGACGATGATGATTCCAAGTATCTTTCCTATGCTGGTGAGCACTTGTATCTTACTCCTATGCCTCCTTCTAGTAGTCGGCCCACCATGACACTTACGAGCCTGGCCCTGGACTCTACGCGTGCATCCAACATGTATCGAACGTACGAGACAGACTTTGATGACTTTGGATTGACCACTGGTGTGGTAGTTGTGGATGACGAGTTGGGCGGTAATTATCAAAAATCGAAGGATAATAATGACGTCTTGGGAGATTTATCACATGAAAACGCTGATCACCGCAGTAATACACCCAAGAAAACTGGAGGAATCACACCAGTTCGATGGTCGTCACAAGTGACCGACATGTCATTGCCCCCTCCACCTCCACCAGAGCCCGACTTTCCCATGGACGAAATGTATGATGATTTGCGTGTACTAATCTTGGACGATGATGTATCCGCCTTGAGCAACGATACTCCACCCCCGGCAGTCTACCGAAACATGAAGAGGGAATTACGAAAGAAGAACAAGATACCTGTCACCTCCTCCTCTTTTTCCAAATGCAAACCACACACTACTTGGGCTAATTGCCAACCTCCTTCGTTTTTACGACGCATTGGGACACAATCTCCTGCTGCCGAGCATGATGGCAAACTACGAGTCGCAGACATGTTCTACCAGGTCTTTCACTGTGAGAATACTGTTGGTTCTGCAGGTGTTTCCAGCAGGAACAATAACAAGGTCTCCTCCACCTCCATTCCTCCTGGAACCACCATTACGGTGACCACAACCCGATCTGGATCCATTGAGCAGCCCACGCACCTACATTATTACGAACAAATATTCGAATGCGCCGAAGCATAAACAAGACAGCAAACATTCTTGTCGTTGTTGTTTTTGACACCAACAACAGCAACCATTTTTGAAGAATGACACACAATCATAAAAATAGAGAAATTTCACTTGTAGGAGATTAAAATAGTTAATGCAGCAGAGATTGTCTATTACCGCACCGGTACCTTCCGTCCAAAGTGCAGCAAACCGTGTTGAGGAGTACTTGGTAGGTTCCTGCGATATGCTGTTGTCGATACGACTGAATATGTGATGAACTAACGGAAGCACGTCTGTCTGTCATACAGGAAGCACATCAACCAAGAGTAATAATCGAACCCGGCGCCGCCTCCACTCCTGGGCTTCAATCGCATGATGTAGTCTTTGTCTGGAGAAATCGCACAGGTATACTACCATGGAACCGTGGCAAAAGCCTGATGCTACATACAGTACGATAAGTGAGTAGGTTTGGCACAGTAGCGAGGTACTAAGTTAGTGACTGGTTAGCACCAAGGTCGAATCATAGGATTCGAAAAGGACAATCAATCAATATGAATAGGATTGAGCAACAAACCCGGACCAAGTGGGGTACCGAGAAATGGTGCAAGGTGGTGAGGGCGGGAACAAAAGCAAAAGCTGACGGTCTTGACCAAGCAGCTATGCCCCTATCGACGCGACGGAAACTGAGACTAATAAAAGGAAGAACTAGAAACACCGCCCATACGTCTCTCGTCTTGCCGATCAAACATCAACAGAACAGAAATACAGTACTGCGGTAGCGACTACATCGACCACAATAACCGTAACCATAATGGTAGTGATAGTACAGTAGCGCTGTACGAACCTCCATTGGTATTAATTGAGATGAATATACAGTGTCATTCCGCCAAGGAAAAGCAATTTAAAACCACAGAAACAAACCAATCTGTCAAAATCTGCTGGAGCTGTGTTCTGTCAACTGCATCGCAAGCAAACATTGTGGGCTTCATTTTAAGTTCTTGCTCGTGCGTGAGCCGAGCTTCAACTCTTCAGATACGGTTGAGTCCGTGGAGTAACTGTACCTGGAACAGTGTACCGGTACCAGTAATTGGTGGTGCAACACCATTCACTCTCTTTCGCTGGCGCTTACCACAATCGCGGCCAACATACGCTAATTCGACATTCGCCATTTGAGGTCGGAATCGTATGTAAAATTGTATTTTTTGGCAGCACGCATTCAATTAGACAACGATTGCCTATGAGGAAAATTATCATTTATGAACTCACGCGACACACACTTCCGTCTACTTAGACACACATGGCTTTAAGACGTTACGAATATCGGCGAAAAATTTGATTCAGTAACAAGTAATTAACCGCAACTCGGCATACGTACGCCAACGGAATGTTCGAATTTTCTTTTCGGATGGTTTGATTGGAATTCCCCGCCTAGCCGCGGCCATTCGAATTGAGGTTTTGTTAAGGACAAGCTAAAAATCTCAAAATTTGTCGCATGCCAATTTTTTCCCGCGTCCAGGTCGTGTTGCCTCTTTCTGTAGGATTTGGTAGGGTTGGCCTGTAGAACTGGAAAGTTTGTAGTTGCGCACGTCGTCGGCTGCTTTGAAACTCCACCCACTGACGCCGCTCATTTTTAGTTCCATCAAATACAGACCTAAGAAATCGTTCAACCATTAAAGAACCGTTTGGTTTACAAGAGTCCAGGGATTACAAAAAGCTCATCTCTTTTGAAGGATAAACCATTGGCAGTTAGTTCTAGAAACAACGCGACAACAAGATGAAGCTCCGATCTGTGTTGAAGAAACTAAAAAAGAAGAAAAAGGCGTCTTCAGAGGGTGTGGTCCATGATGAGCCTCAATCGCCCTATGAGTCGGAAGTACGCATGGCACAAGCAAAGGTGCAACGAGTAGAGAGGGCCAGCAACTCATCGAACAATGGGAATTGGCAAACGGCGCCAGTAGAGCCAGCATCGTCACCCAATAAGCATCAACTTCGACATCAATATGAAACAACCAAGAACTCTGATGTTCAGCAGATTCAGAAGCTTCAGCAGCTTCAGCAGATCCAGCAAACCAAGCCCAGCAGCCCTAAATCAGCCCAACCAATGAGCAAGCAAAGATCAGTTCCTGTGCAACGTTCTTCTGTCAGTGCGTCAAAGAGTAGCAGCTCCTTTCAAGATGACTTTGGAGTGGTGGAACCTAAAGGCTTTCAGGCCAGTCCTAATGAAACTTGGACTTCCTTTGGGGCTACCTTTGGGGACTCGAGTGGGTTCTTCAACGCGAGCAATTCAAATAGGACAGAGCGTACTGCTGCCGAGAGTCAGTCAACGGCGAGACCAAATACATCGTCGTCTTCCATGTCCACCATGTCATCACCGGCGAATTCGTCTTTCCTATCCTCCACAAGATCCGAAGATCTATCTTCGCCTTCCGACCTCTCAAGAATTTCAACATCATCTTCGACTCTCTCTTCTGCACTGAACGAGATTCCTGAAGAGAAGCCTAGTAGCCGGGCTACTACTGCTACTGCAGCTGTTACTACTTCCTCTCCAAGCAAAGAAGGACGATCCGACAGGAGTGTTCAGATGGGAACATCGGAAAAGCGCCAGCGCCCTTCTCCCACTCTCTCTCATCACAAGTGGGAGCCACCAGCTCCTGTTGCCGCCGTTAAGTCCTCACTGTCCTCCTCAATCCCCCAAGAATCATCCCAAGGTGCTGCTGCTTCTGCTTTGCCGACTGCCTCTGCCAAGAGGAGCAGCATTACGGCAAGATACACCTCTGCTCTCAATTCCTCCACTTCCTCTCCAGCCCCCAAACTCTTTCGCACTCCGTCCCGACCTTCGGTGCTGGACAACCATCCACTCTTTCGCAAGAAATCCATGGTGGAACAACGAAAAGAGGTCTTTGCCAAGCCACAACGACAAGTGGAAGAAGAAGAACGGGAGGATCAAGAGGTTGCCGATGCGGATGCCCCACCACCACCACCACCCATGGAGGAACCAGAGGTTGCTGGAACTCCACCATCCAAGTTTAGCCGAATTGCTTCCTCCAACAGCATTGTGGTGGATGGCAACAATAAGGGAGCAACTCCTGTTCTTGCCAACCCGAGAAAACTGTTTAGTGACAATGATGATCCAAAGGATGCCGAGGGGATGGCTCCAACAAAGGATCAGAATGATGCCACTACTACCACTACCATGAACGAGGATGTCTCTCTTGGATCCATAGCTGCTTCGGAGGCACCAACTGAGGAGGCCACAGTCACACCACCTGAGCAACAAGGACAAGAAGAGGACCAAGCCATGATGATGGAACAAGACCAACCCACATCCGTTCCATACAGTCCTGATCGTAGCGAACAAGAACAAGAAACTCAAGAAACAAGCTTTGATGAAGACAAAATGCCAAGTCTTTCCGGTTCTTCTGAATTCGATGCGGTTTCTCCACCAGCATTTACCACCACCGACACGGTGGTTTCGGCCTCACGTTCTTCCGTGGCGCAGTCCAGTAAGTCCACGACTGTCTCGTACCACAGCGAACAAGATTCCGATGACGAAACGGCTCCCATTGGAGAACTCAGCTTTGATTCTCAAACCGAAGGTGGCAGCCATACCGAAGAAGAATTCACAGTGGACAGTCGCGATTATACCGTTGATCCAGACGCCCTTTCCGTCTTGTCCGAAGACTACACAACTTACACCCACGAGCTGCGGCACAAAAAAGGACCATCAGATCGCCTTTCTAGGTGGATTGAGAATACCATCTTTGGCATGGCCAATTTAATGTGTCCCATGGAAGAGGGTGATGTCTACGATGCCTAAATGGTAGAATCACCAACAAAGTCAAAATCAAAATCAATCGAGAAACCAGAATCCTATCATACAATGTGGGATATCTATAATATGGTTCTGGTTTCTCTCTCTCTCGCTACTATACATATATTTGAAAAATTGTATACCAACCATTATCATCATCATCTCATTCGCACACACAACACGCACTGCATAAATTAGACAATAGCTACGCATGGGCAACTATTATAGACAATTTCTTCTTCTAATCTTTTCTTCCTTTTCGAAAGCAATGACTGTATGCTTGCTTGGTTCGAACTATGAAACAACTTTTTGCTGATTGCGGAACAGCGAATTTGGCCCAAAGTCTTCTGAAATGTATTACAAAGCATATTATCCCCTTGCAACAGGGAATGGCAGCATCCTTACAAAATTAATCCACCTTTGCATACATTCACTACAATTTGACAACATCCAACAATTAATTGATTGGTCCACTCGTGAACATTTCATCAACAGATGCTACTAATAGTCCTACAGCAAATCAGACTATTAATTTCAATTGACTAGACTTGGCCACTATAGTTTGTTTCTTATTCTCACAACCCTCCCGAAAGCGATGTTTTGGGCAAGCTACCTTGACTTCTCCTACTGGTCTGTTCGATTTGCCCATTGCTGAATTTGCTGGTTCGCGACGCATTCCTACTAGCATTGTGGTTGGAATTTGGATCCCCCAGGGTGGTGGCGTGACTCGCCTTGATTTCTGCCAAACCTTGGGGTATCATGAAAATACTTTGAAACGAGTCCCAGCAGGATGCAGTCCCCATTCTCGCCCCATCGTAACCGCCGTACGATGGATGGGTACTACTTTCATACGCCGCCCTTCCGGATTCTGATGATTGGTCTTGATCTCGTTCTTCGGATGACTTGAGGGTGGAGCTCATTTGTTGTTGCTTCAGCATCAGACTAGCGTGTTGCCAGGCACTTGATGATTTCAAGGTTTCTGGAGAAATCGGCGTCTTGGCAGTAGCAAGTTCACCAATGCGGCTCTCCTGAAATCCCTCGTTTGATGACTTGTTTATCGTTTTGGAAGCTCGTTGTTTGGTCTTTGGACTGCTTAATTTTGTATTGTTGTTATTACTCATCTTTTTTGTATCGTTGGAGACTGGCATGTAAGTGAAATAAACAGTGTTGAACTCGAGATGTGAATTGGGCGGTAGTCGTTGCTTGTGCATAGTTGGGTTTGTGCCACTCAGGTGTGATCCATCAAAGCCTGCGATTATTCATCGGCCTTACGACTTCACTTATTGCGAGCTCCGACCTGAGATTATTTTTCATTCGTTCGTTCCCTCAAGAATGACTGGCTCGAATGAGTTGCCAAAAACATGACTGGACTGACTAAACCGATCATTCTGGTCATGGAGGTACTCTCATAGCGTTGCGTTGATCCATCATGCGCCACAAAAAATGTGAATCTTCTCGAAGAATCGCATGCAATATCTCACAGAAGGGAGGAAAAACTATCAGAGTCCGTGGAATTAATAGAAAGTACACTGGTCCTAGGGTATCTTGAGTATAGTATTTGTACAGTATATCGTTCAGTCCATGGATTTGAACCACGTAGTAGTACATGGTCATAAGGTGGTGGTGTCTTGAAAATAAGTGATGATAGGCTAATAGTAGTATCAGCACCACCTCGTCGTCGTCGTATTCATTGGCTTCTGGGGAGCTTGGGAACAGCGGGAGGAACATCCTAATCGAACTTCTTCCATCGAAGCCTTGCGAACTGGCATTCTCAATGGCATGGAAGAACAAGATTGATCAGACGAAGCAGCCACCCGATCAAATGGAGGAGTAGGTAGCGGCAGGAATCGCTTCAACAGAACCGTTTTCCTGCCATCTTCAAAGTAGCCCAGGTCTTGCATGCATGCCTTCCTCGCAGCCATGGGCAACGGTTCTGTGCACCTTCGTTGGAGAAGAATCTTCTTTGGGTTTCTGGGAGGCAAGTCTCGACGTGACGAGCTGCCCAGCTCCATGCGCCGAAATGGTCTGCTGGTGCAGTTCTCGATTTCTTCACCACGATGAAGAATGCGGATCTTGTCCACATTCTTACTCTTATGATGTCCTTTACACCATCCATCATACTTTGGATGATTTCTAGCTTGCGGCTGTCGTTCCTTCCTTTCTTGACTTTCTGCCGTTGAGGATGAAGTTGGTTCTTTAGACGACGGTTGCGATTCCTGGTATTTCATGGATTCTAGATTGTGATGGGCTGGCTCCATCAAAGAAAACGATCCAACACAATCGAAAGTAATGTCAGAACAAAGACTTTCTGCTGAAGAACAACCGCGACGTAAGAATGTTCGGATGGTTCGAGGCACTCCCAATGGTGAGGTGTTAGTTCGGAAGTTTCCATCTCTTGATCTGCTCGATGATGTTCGAAGATGCATCTTCTCCGTGAATCCGGAAACTGATGGAGTCCAAGTTTGTGTGAAAGATATGTTTGGATGGGGGAACGAATTTGAGCCAGTGTTTTCAGAATCTTCGACTCACAGAACAAATGAAGTTCGCGGCTCGCGAGTCACAATAAATGGCCCTGCTAGAGTACATCATAAGTGCTTAGAAAGTCAGCCAATTTCGGAATTATGCGCCAGTTCAACATGTTTAATGTTATCATATATGGGAATATCTCAGAACAATTTTGGTTACGGGAATAGAATGATTTTTGACCGCGAATGTCCAGTCTTTGAGGAAACCACTCGGGCCAAATAACACAAAGAGTTCTCATTTCAGCAGGGCCAGGCCACCACCCTTGTAGTAGGTATCACCATTCTCTTTTAGTCTCCCAGAAGAAGCGCTCCCCGATACAGCAGGGCTACCAATCTTGTCAGGAAGCTCCCTTTGTAGACTTGATGTCTTTCCAACGAGATAGTAGTAGTACTATCTAGACCACCATCGCTTATTCTATAAGGAAGAAATCAGAAAGAATAACGTGTAAATGTGTATTCTAAAGAATTGTGCATCATTATATATGAATGTAGTATATTGTATAGTATATCGTTCAGTCCATGGATTGCTTTGGACATTTATCGTGTATTGACTGGTGTGGTGCCGTGTTCAAAAGAAGGAATTGAAGATTGTCTCATTGGCTGTTTGAGTGCGTTTGAACACGGGTGACATCCCATTCGGATTTCTTCTACAGAAGCTTTGCGAACTGGCATTTTCAATGGCATGAAGGAATAAGATTCATCAGAAGCTGCTCGTTCAAATGGAGGAGGGATTGATGCACACGAGTCTTCCTCAACTGGCAGTGAGAATCGCTTCACTAGAACAGCTTTCCTGCCGCTCTCAAAGTAGCCCAAGTCTTGCATGCAGGCCTTCCTCGCAGCCATGGACAACGGTTCTGTGCACCTTCGTTGTAGGATCATAGGAGGCAAATCGCGATTGGGGGATTTGTCTGGTTCCATACGCTGAAATGGCCTGGCACAGTGGTCGCTTTGGCTCAAACATCCCTTTCGAGTATGGTCATTTATTTTGAGAGTAGAAGCTTCATCGGACCATTGGCGAGCCCGCTGGGACTTTTGCCGTTGGCTTCCTCCTTGCGTCGTCGTCTTATGAGACGACGATTGGGGTGAGGAGACAGGAGACAGCGATCGACTGTGTTTTGTGGTTTCCGAACTTTGGAAGCGAGCATGATTGATTGCCCCGGAAGATAGCAAATCATCGTCCAAAGTGATGCTGGAAAGAAGACTTGCTCCTGAACTTACTGCTCGAATGAACCTTGGCACTCGCATTGGTGAGATGGTTGTTGGAAAAATTCCATCTCTGGATCTAGATGATGTTGGCAGAGGCATGTTGTCTGCAGTTCTCTTGGATATATGACCTCAGTAGATGAGCCTGATTTGGTGAAAAGTGATGTGGATTTCGCAGCGTTTTCTGTGGAGATTGTATGAAACGGCACCGAAGCGTTCTTTGTTTTACATTAGAAGGACGTGGATGGCTGCTCCGAAACGCGCTGCTATTCTTCAACGACTTTTTTATAAGGGACAACAGAACGGTATTACAAAGTCTCGTAGTATTTGAGTACTTTGTTCCAGGGACAATTCTGTGGTTTAAACACGGCAATATCACTAATCGAACTATGAAATATTGTGGGTCATTTTGCTTCTGATGGACAAAAACGCTCGCTCAACTGCATATATGTTCCAATCGTTGGGAGCTGTTTTCTTTTGTCAACGATACTTGGAGGTATCAGCACAAATTTTTTACGACTGTATAAAAGGCTCGTCGAACTTTTTTCTTTGTCAAGAAGGGAAAAAAAGCTCTAATATCGTATCAAGATTCTCTTGTTTCTAGCGCAGATTCAGGGGGATCTTGCATGTCTGGATACGGTCGGGGGGGGATTGAAGCGTCTCTCGTAGCTTTGCCTATTACAACTCGCTAATGTTCTTTTTTCTCCCCCGATTTACCGGGACCATATCAACGACATATTATGTTGACTTGCTATCAAGTTCTGAGATGGCTCCAGCATTTGGATACTGCGAACGAATTGTATGATACAGAGAACGATGGTTCTATTACTATTGTACGATTAGTTAAATGAGGTTCCGCACACATCAACAAAACCAAATAGTCTATCCCACAAAATTATCAAGATGAAGAATCAACAATCGAATCGATCTACCATTCCCCAATCCCTGCTTGAGCTCAATGCCAGCAGAATGCTCTCATCCGATAGTGTGGTCTTATTGGCAGACTCCTCTGCTG